GTTTGCCCCGCCGGAGCAGACGGCCCACCGGGAGAGCAGGGACAAATTGGTACAAATTTTCATTTCATTCCACCAAGTAACCACCCTTGCGGGCTCCTAAATCATCTATAAATTTTCTAGGGATTCCTGGACCCAGAGGACCGCCCGGTGATCATGGCTTACCTGGTCGAAACGGTGCTCCCGGCTCACCTGGAGACATCGGCTTGTCCGGAAAACCAGTGCGTTTTCTTTCTATCTTGAGACGAGCCTCGCTCCCATTGGGAAAACAACAGCCTGAAAAAAGAAATACATGACTTGATCTTCCTGCTTTCAATTTCTATGGGAAGCAAATAAAAAGTAAAGGACGAAGAATGCTGCACAATGAAACATTTTTGTCTTCCTTTTATTAGGTAACTGCGAAAAATGCGCTATGTTCAGGGTAAGAAAGGAAAACCCGGTGCAGTTGGTCAACGCGGCATGAATGGAATGGTATCAGAAGGAAGACCAGGTACTAAAGGCAAACCAGGTCCACCTGGACCTCGAGGTGAACCAGGTGACGATGGCGACCACATCAGCGAGGTAAGTGGATAGTAACTGTTCTTGGACTTGCCAAACAATGGACATTCTTTATAGGCTGGTATGGTTGGACCAGAAGGGCAGACTGGTGGTCCAGGTTCTACCTGGAAAGATGGGATCGAAAGGAAAGCCAAGGATTGAGAGGCTTGCCAGGAATACCAGGAGTTTCTCCGGTAGGTCTTTTCCGAGGCTTATATGAAAAAAGTGCAAAATGGACAGAAAAGAGTGTCGACGAGGCTTCCGCTACCGCCAGAAAAGCACTGTACCGCGAATGATGATCAGTACTGGCAAACCTGACAGAACAGTTCGATATGTCTCGTTGATTGTTTGAGTAGTAACAGAATACAGTAGAAATGGACTGTACTACATCACTCCAATTCTCTCCTTTGCTGACGATGAGCAGTGGATATTCCCTAAGTAGGAAGGAACAGATTCGGATGACGAACTTCTCCTATGACTATGGCACTTTCTTGTAGTGGGTGTAAGGACGACCTTGGTAAGGTTTGTCTGCCGCTGGTGTACTTCCTTTTGGTGAATGGTAATGGATTATCAGTCATCAGAGCAGTTAGTGAGAGTTCCAGTTGGAACTTGAGCATTGCTCAAAGCGAAGGGTTACGATAAGATCAGGTTGGATTCACGGCGGAGGTGGGGATGCAATAATGAGCTAGGGCGAAAAAATCACACTTTGCGATCCGCTAGAGGCTTATCGAGCGAACCGCTCATCGAACGAAATTTGCAAAGTCTGACACCGGAATAAGAGGTCCTTGTTAACCCGATAGCTCCATCATGCCAACAAACTTCACGCTTAGACTGACACATTCCACCGAGAAATCATGGGATAGAATTATAGGAAGTAGAATAACTTTTCAAAATGGTAATTGAACGGTGTTGCTGCAACACACGTTGGGAGAGCACATTCGGAGCGAAGCACAGAAACAATTGGCAAGCTCAGTGTGCTGCAAGTAGCGCACCTTCGGCCGCAGAGGCCATATCTCGCTTCCGTTGACCCTGACCACTGCTTCCATGCCGCATATACATACTTTATCGTAATCCCTCGGCTTTAATATGTAAATAGGACACCATTTGAATTAATGATAGTTTGAACATCGGTTCTCTTCACATTCCATCCTGAGAGTGTTTTAGCAAGGTGATCCAATGGCAGCAGTGAAGGCTCAAGCATCTTTGTATGGGGGGAGAGGGAATTCGTGCTTGGTGTGAACAGTGAAGGCGCAGAGGCGTAAAAATCCAGAAAAAGTATTTTAGTGGTCACCAAGTCCCTTTTCGACAGGAAAAATAATTCATCCATTTCGCAGCTTCTCTCTTCGAAAAATGAGATTAATATGGACGGGACCAACTATTTCACCACGGGACCCACCCCTCCCTCCCCTCCCAACTGTACCTGCGCCGTATCGAATTCCTATTTCAAGACCTTGAACAAAGTGCATGGCGTATACCATATCTTGTGAAACACACAAAAGTCAAGATTATTATTGTTGAGTCATTATTGCTAATTGTATTTGTAGGAGTGCGACTGCAAGCAGATCATCAGAGGACAATCACCGCCAGCGGCACAACGACATTTGCGTGTGCATCCACTGGAAAGCAAAGATCAAGACGTTCATCTTGAGCACGTCCTCAACAGTCTGAAAGCAATCAAAGTCGTCGACGAAAGCTTCAATGACAACGAGGAAGAAACGGTACCAGAAGAGGGATCAGGCGAGGGGGCCAAAACTGAATCGATAGAAAGTGAGCAGATCAATGGTGATGTGGACCAGTTGTTAATAAGTCCTGCTCAATTAGTTCCTGTCGCTACAACACCTGAACCAGAGGATGACGGTGATGAAGAAGAAGGACCACAGGAAAATGAGGAATCCGTGGAAGGTAGTGAGGCGGAGGAAACAGCAAGGGACGATTTAGCTGCGGTCATCAGCACAAAAGGTCCCGTGCAACAAGGCACGGTCGAGGAAGTGATGGTAACCGTCAATTCGAAGCTCGGAGAACTTAGCACAGTAAGCACGAGCATATCATCTACGGCTTCACCAACATCTACAATACCTCCAGAGATACCGCCAGAAATATTTGACACTCTGGTAAGAGTGCCAGCAAGGAAACCCCATAGAACTGCCCATGTCGACCGTAACTCTCAGCTAGGAACGGAGTCTTCACATGTGCGTCAACGTCGTCCTAACACTGAAGAGTCTTCCGATGGTGATCGTGATCACCGTAATCAAAACTATGCACCCATTTCCAAGATTGACAACGATTCTGGAGGCAGCCGGTTAGACGCTGAAGAGTGAGTTCAAGCGTTTCGAAAACATGGTAACCATCATAAATAAATCAGTCACTTGTGATTTTTCGCGACATCGTTTATTATTATTGACTAAATCCTATTTACCTTTTTTTACTACAACTAGTTCTTGGTTTGTAAAAAGGTTTCCTTTTCCGTATAGGTAAAGATTACTCTGGAAGTGAGCAAACGTCACCCAGTATA